GAGTAGAGATGTGTTGGTGACTTGCATTAGGGCATTGAAGGACATGTATGATGGATCCCAGATTTGGGTTAAAATGGTGGGAGGAGACTCAACAATTTCCGGTTCAGATGGGGTAGCACCATGGATCAATACTTAGCCTATTCCTATTTTCCTTGGTGATGGATGAATTGACATGATATATTCAAGATGATGTGCTATGGTATATGTTATTTGCGGATGATCTTATATTGTTTGATGAGACATGCAATAGAATCAATGCTTGGTTGGAGTTGTGAAGTCAAACTCTAGAGTTCTCTAAACTTAAGGTAAGTTTTATAGTGTGGTGGTTAGAACGACTTTGTTGTGTAGGGCTGAATGTTGGTCAGTCAAGACCCCCCATGTTCAAAAGATGCTAATTGCGGAAATGACAATGTTGAGATAGATGTGTGAGCATATTAAGAGCAATAAAATTTGGAATGAGGATATCCAAGTCAATGTGGGAGTGACCTTTGTGGTGAACAAGATGAGAGTAGCTAGATGAGATGGTTTAAGCATGTGGAGAGGAGATGCGCAAATACCCAGTGAGGAGGCATGAGAGGTTGGATATAGTTGGTATGAGAAGAGGTAGAGGTAGGCCTAAAATGTATAGGGAAAAAAGTGAGTTTGACATGCAATTATGCAATTTTAGTTTACTGTGGACATGAACTTAGATAGGAGGGTGGAAGTCGTGGATTAAGGTAAAAGGTTAGTAGGTAGTGGAGTGTTGTCTTGCTTTTCAATGGGTTTAGGCTTGATGGTGTATGTCGTAGTATTAGCCTTATTCTTGTAGTGTCTTGCTGTTAATTTCTATCCTCATATGTTGTTTATGGTGTTTTGGTTATTCCAATTTTGTTGTTTCTAACTGCTTACTTATTAGGTATGTTTTTCTCACGGTTGTTTTCCCTTTTCATACCTACTTTGATTTGTTGTACTCAACAGAGGGTCCTCCATAAACAGCCTCTCTAGCTCCACGAGGTAGGAGTAATCAGACCCCACTTTCACTTGGTATGATGTTAAAGAGTAAATGGATAAAAGAGCCTAGACATATTAGTACTATTATAGCTTTCTGATAGAATAGTTTTTCTTCTAAATAGTTTCTTATAAGCATTCACTGTGGAAAATGTCTGTGAAATTGCCTTGAACAGTGAAACTGCACTTCTAACTTACCGTAATCAGTTTCTTGATAGTATTTCTCCTCTTATGAAGCAAAAGATGTCCACTAGCTAGCAGTTTAGTTTGGCTGGAAATAATGTTCTAGGCTTCAGGAACAGCCAAGGTAGTTAAAACCTCTTGGTATACTAGAATGATGCAATTGCTTAACGTGGTAATTTATTATATACTGAAATGGCTACTTTACCTAGAATCTGTTCTTCGACAATTTATTTCATACTTCAATTAACTCGTCCAAAATCAATCAGATTAAAACATTTTGACACATCTCTCCTTACCCAATGTAATCTGTTAGATTCATACAAACACTTTTCTCATTCTAGGTATCAGTAATGGTAATCCCACATGTTATCATTAGTTTTGGCAATTGCTACAGGTGGTGATTTTACTTTGGCCATTCTTGAAATTATCACAATATGGTGTAGGCATCTCGTTTTCTCCTTTGATCAGTTGCCTGGAGTTCACAGACATGTAGGCTTAATCCTTAGAGTCTGTGGATCTCCCATACACTTCATTGTTAACTACTATGCAAGTATTGTTGACTATAGTCATCTTAGTTTGATCTCAATCATATATTTGGTTCATACAGGAACCCAGTCATTCAGTCTGTACGTTGTCATCGGATTCTGAGTCTCCTCATGATGGCAGTTCCATGAAAGTGGAGGAAGTCCTTGACGAAGAGTTGCTTATGCACGATGTTAAGGCTACAAAGAAAGAAGAAAATGATGTAACATCCAAGAAAAAATCTCCTAAGAAAAAAATGAAGGAGGAACAGGAAAAGAAGATGAAACTAGAGAATCAGCTGAATGAAGGTAAGCCGTCTGTTTCTAGCTTCTGAATTCTAACCATATGACTTCTAGCCTGTTTGGCCAAGCTTCTAAAATCAGCTTATTTTGAAAAGTGCTTTACAAAAAACTACCTTTTGGTGAGAAGCAGCTTGTGTTTGGTTTAATCAATTTGAAAAACATTTTTGAGCGGTAATTAATGTCTGACCAAGCTTTTAATAAGTGCCTCTTAGTGTATGTTCTCAGAAGTGCTTTTTAGAGAAGTACTTATGGAGAAAAGCTAATTTTTTTAGCTTTGGGAAAATAGCTTCTGCTACTTCCAAACACTTAATTTTTTTTAAATATAAGCCTTTTTGAAAAAATAAAGTATGTTTGGACTCCCAAAATCTTGGTCAAATAGGCTATTAATATATTAGAGGTGAATGGATCTCAGAACATTTGTAGCAAGTGTATGTTTAACCTTAAATTATGGTTCTGCACTCTTTATATTGTCGAATTGTTGATTTTCCAGGTATTTTATTATTTTTCTTTGTAATGTGTTGTTTGAAATAGGTGTAGAGAATGAAGCCACGGAGGAAAATATTCCAGAGAAACAAAGTGGAACAAATGTGAGAAACTTTAGTAATACTTGATGGATCTTTGGAGATGTTGACTGTTCACTGATTCACTTTTATGATATTGTGTATAGTTGTCATCTTCAAGGCTGCCTTTGGTTCTTCCCGAGAAAGTACAGAGGACAAAGGTAAAGTTAGCAGATTGTAGTGAGTAGTGACTCTCTTGGCATGGAGATGATTACTATGGTTTGCCTGTTTGTCTCTTTATTCTTTTTCTTCCAGCAAATGTCCTTCCCAAATTAGCCAATTAATTCGAAGATTCCTAGATTGCACCCCCTTACTGTTTTTTTTACAAACGGAGAAGTATCTTTCCGAGATGTCAGAGAAAGAGGATATGGTGGCTTATGTTTGGCATCAAAAGTTTCACCATAGTATGTTTTTTTTTCTTCAAAATAACTCATGTAGGTGACACTAATTGAATTTTCCCATCTGCTTAAGCTTTTGTTGGGAAGAGTTACCTTATTTGTGCTGCTAAGAGTTGAGGTGAGCATGAATTAGCAACATGCTGTCAAAAATAAATTAAAAAAGTCGTGCTTAGGTATCATCAAGTTCTCACTTCTATAGATTTTTGATCAATTAGATGTCTTTTTCTTTTGTTTCTCGCCTGGTGTCCGGTAAATGCATTTGAGCCCTGACCAGTCCAGATTCGCATCGCAAAACTCGTTCAAAGTAGAAGTGCTTTTGTACTTGTATATTCCCCCCAAAAAAATCTGTTCAATTATTTTCTGCTAAACTTTGTCAAGCTTTGCATCACTTTGATATAGGCACTTGTGGAGTGTGAAGGTGATTCCATAGATCTGAGTGGTGATGTGGGTGCTGTCGGGAGGATAATTGTTTCGGATGGCCCATCAGGAAACCATGAAATGCTTCTCGATTTGAAAGGTATACATACATGTTTCTCAAAAGTTCATCTACCAAATTCTTTCAAGTCCCGGTCGTGGTTGCTTTTTATATGTTTCAAACAATGTAATAGCTCATCATTATCATTCTGGCATGTCAATAATTTCTTAACTTCAAACAATACGCTATCATATTTACTTTAGCCCAATGTTTACAGCATAGAAGCACAATCTTATTCTGATTTAGGTTTGATAATTGAGTCTAGCAATTTCCAGGAAAAACAAAATCTTGCAATCTTATTTACTATGGTTAATATGAAATTTTAGATGAATGCTAGTCCTTTTATATCTCAGGAACCATATATAAAACGACAATATTGCCTTCCAGGACGTTTTGTGTGGTATGACGCCCTTATCTCAAGCAATTATTCGTTTTGCTTACCTATCCCCCTCCTGCTCACCCACCCACCCACCTTCTCATATGTAAATCTAACATAAATTTTTCTTTTTTAGGTAAGCTTTGGACCATCAGAAGCAAAGGTTTGTTTCTGTCTTGCTTATTGATTTATCTGCTTTATCCATAGTGAGGAAATTGGAGAGATGATGTTTAGCTTTAGAATTGCTGTCTGTCTCTCTTTTTTACTTTCCAATTTATCGAAGTGTGTCCTACAGTTCTTTTTATAAAATAAGTACTACCTCCGTCCCATATTAGATGAGTATCTTACTAAAAGTATTTGTCCCATGTAACTTGATCACTTACTAAATCAGGATAGAATTAACTAATTTTTTCCCATTTTACCCCCTATAATTAATATGACTTTTGAAGATTTTGCAATTTAACAAAATTCTTTGCAAGATTTAATAAATAGTAAAGTTGATCAATCTATTAATGATTTCTTAATAACCGTGTAAAATGAGAAGTGCTCATCTAATATGGGACGGAGGGATTAAGATTTATGCTGTTAATGGATGATTATGTGATTCTGATCAGGTGGAAGCCATCATGAATGACTTCATACAGCTGAAGTCACAATCAAATGTTTATGATGCTGAACACATGGTTGAAGGTAGCAGTTCTATCTGATATATATCTATTTTGTAGCAAGTTCAACTGTCTTCCTTGTGTTTCACTTTGGAATGAAGCCATTTACAGTCGAATTTGAATTGACTTCATTTGAAACGTTCCTTCTGATATTAATAGGGACTCTTGATGGTTTCACGTTTGATTCGGACGAGGAGGCTGAAAATTTGACGCAACCAGCTTCCCAAGGTGACCAGAATGAGAATGTTGATCATCAGACCAATGGGAATGTCAAAGCAAAAGCTAAGAAAGCCTCGGTATGCTCTGTTCTTTTTGGTTACCACTAACAGTTGCTTCACTTTCTAGATCTCAAATTGTGATCCAAGCTCGCTTTGCAGGCTATGGAACAAAAGAAGGGCAAGAAGGGAGCAAAGATACCAAAGAAAGTAAAAAAGAAACCTCAAGTGCAGAAGAAAAGCAAGAGCAAAAAATAAGATATGACTCTACATATTTCATTTCGTTTGATATGTATTCTATTTATTTTCTTTTCTTATTTTCTTTCTTTTTCTTCTGTTCTTTGTATACATATACTGATCATATTTTTTAAAAGCTAATGAAAGTAGTCTTTAGGAAGCTATATAATTGGTAGAGGCCACATAATATGTATTATTTGCAAGATTTTCTCATGATTATCCTCCATATTACCATAAAAATTCTAATGTCGATGAGCTTCAGTCTCTGAAAGTGATTTGCTTTTCCTTTGTATTTGTCCTGTGGGGTGAATTTAGAGGTTTGTTGGTTTGATTCAACGAATTATCTGATTTTCAATACTTTTGTCAGTGCACAGAATGTGATGCTATAAATCAAATATAGAGACATAATGTTGTAGTACAAGACACTGTTGATATTGTAAATAAGTTGTCATTTGTATTGTTTTTTCTCAAGATAACATTCCTTAATTTTGTCATATGTCCATTCAAATTCAGCTCCGTTCTCTCGTTATGCCAAAGCATATCCTGATTTATGCTGTTTGACTTATTTATAGAGATATAAACTGAAATAACAGCCCAATCAGCATGGGGAAGGGAAGGAGAATGTTTGACGATGAGACCATCGCTGGGAACTTCTCCATTCTACTTTCTTCAATAGGTGGAGTTGTTTCTCCACCGTTGGGTCTCTTCACCCTGTTTCACAATCCAATAGTGGTAAATTAGGGGGAAATAGAGAACATAAGATCCAGTGTTTTGATAGTGAGATATATTCACACACATTACCCATTCATGGGACAGAAGATGATTGCGTAGTCAGAAGCCTTGCAGGTAAAAGTGCTGGTGCCATCATCATATGCATAGCTATAAGCCCTTGGACAAGCTCTTTTGAAGACGCTTGAATAGAATGATGGACGACAAGTTGTTGGATTGGCAAACTCTCCGGCACAGCAATACTGATCTAAACCAAAAGCCTCACATGCACTCTTGCATGCTACTACATTTCCTCCTCCATCTCCACCCACCACTTGAAGTTCTTTGGGACAACCTGTTAGATATTTAGAAAAGAAATTGTTAAAAGTCTTTTCTGCTAAATGCTTCAAAACTTATTTGAGTCCAAGGACATGGAATATAAGGGTTCAAGTTCTAGTTAGAGGCAAAGAAGCTAGGTGATTTGTTCTCGTCTGTCTCAGCTGTAGTGGGCACTTTTTCTTGGTGAGATGAAACAACTACATATGTAGCTTACCCATGTTAAGATTGGAAACACATCCAGTGGCATTGCATCCACCAGGAACTCCCTGTGGGGTTGCAACCATTGGCAGATTATAACCATCAACAATGCTGACATCGTAGAAATCTTTGGTATCTCCCGTCCCTAGAGTTATCTCGAAGAGAGAGGCAGGTGGTGTTGCACCAAGCCCATCACATTCAAGCTTACCACCACAGTCACCTGTTTGACAAGAGCCAACACCAGACTCATCAAAAATGCAGCCAGTCCTTGCCCAAATGCGACCTGACCATCCCGCTACACTTGGAATCCTGACGCTTTGGCCAGCATTCAATTGAAAGCCCGTCGTGGAAAGTTGAGGTGATGAGGAACCAGACAATGTTCCAGGCCATATTGTATAAGGACAGTTGTTAGTAATGGTGAAAGTCGAGGCGAACGAATGAGAAATCAACACGCAGAAAAGCAAGGTAATTGAAAGCTCTTTCCAGGAAGTTATTGTGAGCATATTATTATGGTCCCTTAGTTTATAGCTAAATATTTCTGGGAAAAATAAAGTTTAAACGAAAATGAACCACCCTACCATATTTATAGGTGGAAGGAATTTGACATATTTGATACAAAATCCATATTGTTAAGTTGCTTATGTTTATTCATCAGCTGCAACACCATACATATGGATTTAGCATTTCTTTGTATTATGGATGGCCCCAATAAGAGGTGATTCCTTTCTTTAGAAATCTTCATTTTTTATTTTTATCTTTGGAAATGAATCAGTTTTGTTTGTAGTGCGTAAAAGGTTAGACTAAATAAAAAGGTGTATCTAGATTCCCATAAATTTATAATTTTTTCCTAAATAAAATTGTTACCGACAACAGTGAAGCGGCATGTTATTCCGCGAACATACTTTTAATGATAGAAATTAGAAACATTAAGAAAAAAACAAAAAGATTTTTGAAGTTTGTTGTCTTGAAGTGAAAAAGGCACGTTTATTATTTGTATGATTTGAAATTTTGATCTTAAATATGTCATAATGTTTTTTAATTTTGTAAAAGTGCTTATTAAGCGTAAAATAAAAAGTGGAAAATTAATAATTTCCAAATTTAAAAGTGAGTTGCATAGACCAGGACGCGGATGTAAACTAAAACTAAAATTTTGACAAGTTAGCCTGACCGGCGTTCTTTTCTAAATGTGCTGATTGCTAAACAAAATATCAAACTTTTAATTTATTTATACGAGTTTTAAATGTCTTCTTGTGCACATTCAAAGTTAAAGGTTATAGTTATGAGATGACGCTAAATTAAGGGTCATGTTTATGTATTAAGTCAATATTTTACATGTATGTTGTCATCATATTGATATACAAAAAAAATTACAATTTATAGTACTTTTCATATAGTTTTTGAATAATGTAATTTAACTTTAAAAATTCATTAAATTAACTTTCGAAAAGCGTAACAGAACAATTAAAAATGGTTGGAAAAAATATATAAATTGATATAAATGGAGAAATAAATATTTAGTCTTTAATACTAGGCATGGAACAAACAATTAAGTGTTAAACTTAAGCTTCACCTACAAGAGTAAAACAAGACAGAGTTATTCGAGTGATAAATATTTCTTTACTTTCAATTGGAAGATTTATGAACAAGACAGAGTTATTCGAGTGATAAATATTTTTTTACTTTCAATTGGAAGATTTATGAGTTATTAATGAAGTAAAATAAATAAAACCCACATAAGGGCGCTATTTATTGAGACACAGACACGGTCCATACGTTTATATAATTAATTTTCATTACCAACGGTAGCTTCCCTTTATTTAATGAGAAAAAATAGCTTTCACGGTTCTAAGAGCCTGTTTGGCTCAGCTTAAAAGCTGGTCAAACTGACTTAAAAGCTGATTTTTGACTTATTTAGCTGTTTGACAATATTCAAAACAACTTATTTTAAGTTAAAAAAAACTTATTTCAAGCCAAAAGTTAAAAGCTGAGGTAGGGGTGCTTTTTTTTTTCCAGCTTATAAGCTGTTTTAAGTTGACCACATTTTTACCTTTTTGCCCCTAATATTTTTATACAATCTCCAAATTACCCACATAACCCTAACATCTCTTTCTTCAATTTGTCCCTTTTCACGCGTGGATGATAGACAATTACTATTACTAATGAATGAAAATAAAATAAATCTTAAATCTTTCAAGTGATCTATTCAAATTATATATTATTAAAATGTAAAATAAGTTGCACATATAACTTAAATAAAAATTTATATTCCTCTTATAAATAATTTGTGATAATAAAGAAATATGTGAATGATAGACAATTATTATTACCTATGGATGAAACTAAAATAAAATCTTAAATCGTTCTTTAATCTATTCAAATTATATATCTTTAAAATCTATAATAAGTTTATATTCCTCTTATAAATAATTTGTGATGAGAAAGAAATATGTGAATAATAGCAAAATATAATTATTTATGGCTGTAAAATATAAATTAATTAACTTTTATTATGTTAACAGTTTTTAATGGTATTTCAGACATTTTGATTTAAAAAGTTGTTTATCAGCACTTATTTGCCAAACACATCAACAACTTTTTTTTTTAACTTCAGCACTTTTATCCAAACGCATAACTGCTTATTTTAAAAATAAGTTTCAGCATTTTCAAAAGTACTTTTTTAAAGCTGCTTTTATTAAGCTCATCCAAACGGGCCCTAAGCTATGTGTTAGGTTGGAGAAGGAATGACTTTTTCCCATTTTTTTAGATTTTGAATTAAAATGAATATGAAATAAATGGCCTCTCTTTTTGCTTTTCCCACTGTAACTTAGTGGATGATGTCAGACCCAACCAACTCTAAAATTCAATAGCCCAATTATAATGGAGGTAGTTTTGTACTGGCACCATAATCAACTCACCATCTCTATCAACACAAATAAAAATATACATATTGCTGATTTACTGAAAGAGGAGAAAAATTTAGACAACTAGCAAACTTAAACAAAACATCTTGACTCTGTCACAATCCATCTATTGAGTATTTTATTTTTATAATAACTATAAAAGAAAAGCAGCAAAGCGTTTAAACATGAGAGCAGCATAAGATCACTAGATGATCTAGAAAACACCTAATATATGAAAAAAGATGTATTCTCCTTTTGGGAAATTTATTATAAATGGCAAAGTTTGTAGTGAGTACAGACTGCACATCCCCAATCCGATCAGTCATTGCATCTGCATTATGTACACTGTTGGGTTTGCATAAAATAAAAAAATAAATAAAGAAATGCATCTTCCTGTTATATTCTTTCAAACTATACACTGCAAGCAACCGATGGATACTGGTAAGGGGTAATGATATTATTCCACAACAAGTAAGTCTTCAAGGGAGTGATATTCTTGAGTATGATGACTGAAAAAACTGACTTTGTATTGTCATTGTCATTCACTAAAGCCAATCCCAGACGTTGCTAAAACGAAGCTGTGAAACACCACACTGAGAAAGCTGACTTTGTATTGTCATTGTCATTCAATTTGCTAATTCACCATCCTGAAAAGTGGCAAGATAGCAGCAGCATATGATGCATTGAGCGCCAATTCAGAATTCAAAGCAACAAAGAAATGGGAATCATACAGCAAGTATAGTTTTGCTGATGAAGTCGAAGAGCAGCAGCAAGGCACAAATGACAAGAGCCACTAATTTTCAAAACACATAAAGTCATCAAGCACTTACAACAAAAAAAGATCCTTTTGCAATAACAGAGGAGCAAATTGGACAACAGGTGTAACTTTAAGTGGTTTAGCAACACCCCTTGATTTGGCTGCTAAAGATTCCTCTTCAGCTAACACTATCAGAAAAAACAGATACATGTAGGTGGATGTAAACACCAGATCTCTGACTCCAAGAATAGGTGGATCTTGTTTTCAAACGATCAGACATGAAATTCGACTGTATTACTCACAATGTTACTGCAGGATAGTCACACTTCAGCGTGGATGCAAAACACCAATTGATTTGGCAGATATTAGATTCTTCCTCAGACCTCTCCCTGTTCAAGAGTTCAAAGCTTAGAGCTGATTTTTATTTGTTCGAACTCTAGACCTCGTGGAAGAGCGTGGATCTGTTGAATAAGAAAGAACAAACTTAGTTAGAAACTCATGATTCTGCTGGTAATAAATAAGACAGATGATAAAACATAAACAATATAAACTATATCTCAACTCTCCTGACTGTAAATGTTTTTGAGTTCCTGCAAAAGTAAAACCATTTTAGGATACTTTACATGAACAAATTCAAAAAGCAAATACAAACTGAATTTTAAGAATAGACTAGTGCAACAGTATGAAATAAAATAGTGCTTTCTTCCAAAACCTGCCAAAGAAATAGGGAGTTAAAGTCATAAAAGTAGGTGAGCTTTAGTGAGCTCACTGAAAAGTGTGTTCTTTCTTTGATAGGGCAAGTTCCTGTAGGATAGGAAACAAAGTATATAATAATTCCACTGACTGGATTCCAATAAACCTCCCAGAATTGATCACAGTGATTAATAGAGAACTATACAAGTACAGCAAGCCAATACAGATGTTTGACAACCCCTAAAAGGTATAACTGTAACCACAAGTATAGAGTGACTAGACAGAAACCAAATAAAGGTTATACAAAATGCTGCACTATATATAGTTAAAGCCTTCATGTAACATCAACTCAGGCGCATACCAACGTTTGCAGACATAATATTGTTACTCCTAAACAGTTATAAAGCTACAGTCCACAGGAATGTAGAATATAAGTCCTCCTACAAAATGGCAAGACAATCTAGTCTGTCATGGAAATTATGAAATTGTTCATAATCCAGTCCGAAAAGAAAGTAAAATTAAACAGACGAAAGGATGGAAATTTATTATATCTAGTTCAAGTCCATGCCCTCTCCAACTTGACTGCAAATGGGACTAACAGCAGTGAAAGATCTCTCAAATGGTGATGGGTGGAAATGTGCATCCCTTCTGCGCTTAAAGGCGCAGCTATCAGAAGGGGAACTATCAGCATCAAACTTCCTCCGTACACCTTTCACAGCCTGCACTTCAACTTGTGTTAAAGGGAAAATCTGTCGGCTAACTCTGCAAAGAGAGTTATGGTTATCATACAATATTCGCTGGTTACAGTTTTTGTCGCAAATGTGTGTCAGCCCAGTTAGACGGCAGCGGAACATGTTCCCACACACATGTTCATTTTCACATTTCCAATCACACTTGTGAACAGGGTTTGGGCCATCTTGGCCCAGAATAGTTGACAGATATATAACATTTGTAGGCACTGCTACCATAGATTTTCCAAGTACCTCCATTGTTCAGTTAATCAAAAAACTTGAGTTCTGAGAAGATATCCACACCCCACTCGCCTTGCCCCGGATGCTCTGCAGACTTGATAAACAAGATCCGTCAAGATTGGTGGGTGGATCATGGAATATAATTGTTTGTTTCGAAGGACAAAAACCATCTAATAAAATTTTCCTATGGAAACTGAAAAGCAACATTTAGGTGACTAAGCAAACCTCAGTAAAGAACATAAAATATAAAACCTTATACTCGAGCAATTGCTAGTGGAGACTCAAAACAAGGGTGGCATAATTAAGCCTAACCCGCCCAACCCACTTAAAATAACCCGTACATCTATTAGCTTAATCCATTTCAACTCAACTCATTCAAAATTGAATTCATATGTAGCCTAAATTGACTAATGAAAAATCTTGTCAAGATATTTTCAAGGGACTTTATTTTTATTTTGATATATTACGTATAGCCATAATAAAAATATGCAAATTATTATGTATTAAAAATTTCAGAAAAACAATTAACACTTCAGTAAAAATTTAAGCATGGATTATGACTCATTACTTGACCCGTTTTGACCCAGCCCAAGGTATAGACCCGTTTGTTATGTTGGCCCAACCCAAGATTGGATTGAGTTTTGACCCATCCAAATTTAATTCAACCTAAAATTAAATTGGGTCTAGACCCGTTTAGTATTATGGCCCATTTTGACCCGCCCAAATTTGAGCCAACCTACCCAATTGCCAACTCTGTTCCTACCCCCACCACAAGCTAGAGTGGTTCACCAGAAAACTAACAATTAACTGGCAACAAATCTTAGCTCTGTTGATTTACACATCTAGAGCAAATCTAATTACATTGTTGTTTTGTATACGTGAAATTTTTTTTGTTTACAAGTATTTCATAAAAGAATTTCTTTATTAGGTTAGGTGAATTCCTTCTTTTCAACCTAAAAAAATTTCGACCCCAAAACAAAAGATCCTGTACAAAACTGACTAAACAAGGGCAAAATGAACAGTAAAAAGTTCCAATTTCAGCTCAAGCATATAGAATTTCCTCTCACACAACCATTTACGTTAGCATTACAACCAAATCTGAAGAACTACAACAGAATTATCCCAAAAAAAAATGATGAAAATCACAACTAACTAATTCTCAGGCAAAATCAAACAATAAACAACAAAAAGATCATGAAAAAAAAGAAGAAGAAACTTACGATGAACCCGAAATGAAGAACACCTAACAAGCTTTTTCTTCTCCTTCTCTCACTTGTCACTCACTTTCTCTCTCTAAGACTTTTTCAAAGCTATGCCCTATAGTGAAGCAAAGAAATGGGGAGAGTATGAAAGAGTATTTATAGAAAAAAAAATGGGACACGGATAAGGTGTTGATCCGATTCTCATGTGGGGGACGTTGGACGTAAATGTAAATGCACATGAAATTTATCTAAAATGAAAATTTATTTTTGTCATTTTCTGTAATTTATTTAACTTTCTTACTGTTTAGTGGATCAAAAACGACATCGTATTTGTACTGTTACAATCACGACTCTAACGGGAGGTGCATCTTCCGTCACGTGCCCCACGCTTTTGGTTTATTTTCTTTTAATAAAAAAATAATTTTCCTTTATTCGTGGGAGCTTTTTAGCCAAGGTCGTCGGTTTGTAACGTTAAAGTAGACTTACGGAAAAAGAAAAAGTAGACTTGAAGCGGACCTACCAGACTTTGACACGTGTTTGGGAGTTCTCTTAATTGTTCACCAATAATCCGTTTTTATCGTGCTTATAGGTGGGTAATAGTATTGGGCTTCTACCCATCATTTTTATGGGCCAATTCTAATTCCTAATGGGCTTTTTTTGGGTAATTACTTATGGGTAAATCTTAGGGCAACGTTCACATATGGCAAATAAAAAATTCATATTTATATGCTATAGCAAAGTTTGCATAATTGCGCTCCATAGCAAACATAGAAATCGTATAATTCGCTATACATATACAGTTATTGAAGCAAATTTATAAAACGAAGTGTATAAAACAAGAAAGAGAAAAACACTTGGGCAGAGAACTGTATAAAAACGAAGTGTATAAAATGAATTGTACTATTATAAGTGTATAGAACGATTATATACAATTTGAATTTGTATAAAATGAGAAAGAGAGAAAGACAAAAGAGACTTGACAAGGAATATACAATTGAATCGAATTGTATAAAACGAAAAAAAGAGAGAAGCAAAATAAATTGGACAGGGAAGTATTTTTATTGTATAATTATAAGTGTATAGGACGAAAATATATGTACTTGCATGTGTATATACAATTTTCTCATGTTTATACAAACAGAAATGCAATTTATACATTTCGCTTCTATTTGTATAAGTGAGAAAGGCGAGGGTGGCGAGCAAGATTTGGGAGAGTGGCGAGCGAGATTTGGAAAAGGGGAGAGAGGGGAACAAAAATATATGTATTTATACAATTTTTTCTGCTTTACACAATTAGAAATAATTTTTATACACTTGTGTTTGTATAAAAAGTGAGGAAGCGAGTGAGAGATTGGATGAGAGTGGCGAGTGAGATATTTGGGAGAGAGGCGTCTGACAATTTTTTTTCAAACGTTTGCTATGGAGCACAATTAAATCAAACCCTAGCTACACCATTTATTCTAGGTTATTGGTTTGCTATTATATACAATTTTCCCTAAATCTTACTAGTTTAGGAGATAATTATTGAGCAACTCTCACATATAGCAAATACAAAATTCATATTTGTATGTTATAGCAAAATTTTCATAATTGCACTCTATAGCAAACATAAATATGTATAGTTCGCTATATATACAAAGAAATCAATTGTTTAATCCGATATACATATACAAAAGAAAACAATTCTATACAAATCAATTGTATAATTTGTGTATGTATAAAACGAAACAGAGAGACAGACAAAAGACAATTGTGCATAGAAATATTTATATCGTACAATAATAAGTGTATAGGACAAAGATACATGTATTTGCATGTGTATATACAATTTTCTCTCGCTTTATACAAACAGAAATGCAATTTATACATTTCGTTTTTGTTTGTATAACGATACATGCGACTGTGTTGAGCGAGATCTGGGAGAGGGGAGAGAGGAAAACGAAAATTATATATATATATATATTGTATAAAAGTGAGAGGGAGAGAGGGAGAATAGCGAGCGAGAGTTTGAAGCAAACAGTTTGCTACACGGCACGATTAAATCAAAGTATGGTTATATTTGCCTCCATCATTCAAAACACACCATTTTGCTCATATTTGCCTCCATCATTCAAAACGACAATCAACAATAACCAATGCTCTGATACCACTTTGTTGGGAAAGACAAGGCACTAACAAAGAATGCCTGACAGGATAACAGCGGAAGAATACCCAAGTCTATACTTTCCCTTTTCGATTTGAACCAAGAGAAAACAAACAACCACAAGCAATATGATAGTAAGGCAGCAAGTAATTCAACCAAACAAATATAACAAGACAATAATAAACCAATCACACAAGACACCAAGATTTACGTGGAAAACCCTTTGATGTGAAGAGTAAAAAACCACGGGACCAAAAGCTCCACTATAATCACCAAGAGTTACAATATTGTTCTCCAAAATTGGCCACAAAACAAGTGTCAAACAACGAGCAACAACAAAATAAGATTGCACCAAATCTAGAGAATTAAAGGAACAAAATCACCAATTTCGCAGCTACTATTCACGACAGCAAAACTGAAGATGCAGGCCACCAAATCCAACTCTGTCAGTTCCTAATCAAAGATTGAGATGAGGATAATATGCTGTCCAAAAATCAGCTCAATCGGATAAGAAACGAAGCGGGAATCGCAATTTGAAGTTGGCTGTTATGGCTGAAATTTGACTGCGAAAATCTGCTCTTTTTCTCTCTTTTTGGCTACTAAAAAACTCTCTCTAAAAAATCTGAAAATAAGACCTAAAATAGGCTTATATTTGCCTTATAAGAATGGGATTATGGACAAAAATGAGTTGGTCCAAATTGGGCTTTTATTTATCCATATAGGAAGGGAAAAAAGACCCATAACCCAACAAAGTTTTCACTCAGTTGATTTCATTACCCTGCAACTAAGGTAATGTTTTATTTTTTTAGAATACAGAGTATTTGAGTATCTATTAAAAACTCATGTATTTTGAATTTTTTTATGCTTTCTTTGTATTGTGTTAGTTGTAGTGGTCCATGTCCCTTCTCTTTTATTTGTCTTTGTCTTCATTATTGTAGAATTTTTTTTTACTGCTAGTGGAGTCCAAACACCTTGTGTTTTTGCTGATTTTTGTATTATTAATGGTTGTTAGACAACATGGTTGATTTGTTTAGCTATGTGTATTGTTGATTTGTTTTACTTGTCAAAAGTTTATTTTAGTATTATTATGTTTTATGGTTGGAAGTTGCGGAAGAATGAAACAGAATACCACTCCAAACTAATGAGAGAGACATGAATAAATTGATAAGAAATGTGCACCAATTTTATTGAGTTAGATTTCTATAATGAAAACCAGAAGCAGATGGAACGTATGAATTGAAGGAAAAGAAGAAAGAAGAGAACTAAAGCAATGGAAATAAAAGACCCAAAAACGATTGTCGGGTCAATTTTTTAGAAATTGATTTTTAGGCCAAATGGGTCATAAATTTTGAAATGTTTTAAAAAAAATCCATGTCACGTTTGCCATGTCAGCAGACCGTTAAAAAGGGGCAATTTTAAACCTTAAAAAAACGTTAAGGGCATTTTTAAACCAAAAGGTGAAAGGAGGGCATTTTTGAACCATTTGAAATACGTTGAGGACATTTTTAACCCTTCTCCCAAATAAATTTTCCCTAAAAAAATAAAGGAATTTTCTCTTAGTTAACTAGGAATAGTTTTTTTTTTTAAATGTTTAAAGCTTATATTAATAGTATTTTCTCTATAGTTAACTAGGAAGTGTTTTTTTTTTTAATGTTTAAAGTTTATATTAATAGTACTATACTATTAATATATTTCAAGTATAATATATTATCCTATTTTATATAAAGTAAATTTCTGCAATTTGCTGCATTTGTTGTTTATACATTTTGAGTATACAAAAAATATAAATTATATATATAAATTAACATTTTAAATAAAAAATTAATATAAAATAATTAAATATGTGAATATATATTTGGTAATACATAGCGGATATATTATCATATATACGATATCAAAGTTACCATTTCAATTCATAATATTAATAAAATATTTACATTTTGATTTTAAAACAAATAAAAAGTTGGTTGTGTATGAAAAGGAATAGATTGTTAGGGAAATGTAAGAAAATTCACAATAATAATAGTAATATTAATAATAAATAACTTCATTATTTATCAAAAAATAATCCTGAAAATAAAATAAAAATCACTACAAATATATATAAATATTAGTGCATAAAATAAATAAATATTTGAATCGTGCTATACACTATCCTAAAAAATTATTTTAATTGTGTAGAATGTCTACCTAAAATTAAACTAGTATTTCCCTATTTTATTTTAAATAGAGGCAACACAAATCAACAAATTAATTATAATCAAGTTACTAGGAAAAACTTAAAAATAACAAAGCTAAAGTTATTAATTAATTAACATTAAAATAAAAAAAATGTAAAGAGAGAGAGGAGAAGTAGAAAACGTGAGGAAGTACAGCTACATTTCAATGCACAAATGTTCATACCTTTTTATAGGCAAATGAAATAGTAGCTAATTTGACCAAATCCTTGCATGCAAGAAGACACATGGAGGAAGAGGTGTAAGATGGATAAAAACTTGTCTTAATTAATTACCATTAAAATAATATAATTATTTGACTTTGTAAATATATTTTAAAAAATAATCTTTTAAAATAAAATATTTTTCTTACAATTCCCCGCTTATTTTAAAATATTTTTATAAAATTATAACTTGTTGAATTTTCAGGATATTGCACCATCACCTAAGGTAAACATATATCTGCTAGTGGATTTTTTGTTTTCTCGTTTCATTGAATTTGCTTCACTTATAGACTTAGTTGACTCTAACCTATATGGACTGATACTAAGACTGAGCCATAGACAATCGGATCTAATACTAACTTTTGCTGGGATGAGAAAATCTGTTATTTTGGTGCCGAAAAATGAAATATGATTCAAAATGTTTATTACTCTATGTTTATCTATGACTTATTCAGTTTATAAAATTAATAAATAATTTATTATTTTGCGTCTATTTTACTTTTATCCTTTTTTTCAGAGAGTGGGTGTTTTCGCCCCAACTTTATCTTTGATATTTGAGAAAGTTATTTAATAATTAATCCTCCAAGGAAGAGAAAAAAATAATTTAATCAAATATCTTTTTGATTAATATCATCATGCGTAGTGTTCAAGGATTGAACTTTGCATAAAAAAATGTGCGTTTATTAATGTTTTGGTGGCGCTAAAGTGGATAATTTATTAATGGGTGAGACTGCCCATTCATATGACCACCAATAACTCCACTAAATGCAAAACGAAGAAGAGCACCATGTTTATAATTTAACTATTAAATAGATTAGTTAATAAATTTTATTATTTAGCTTTATAATTTCAACTCAATTCATGAATTAATTTTATCAAAAAATAAAAAGAATTGTACGGTCAAATACCTATACTTTTTTTGGTTGAATAATACCTATTCTTTTATGTTAGTTATAATATATAATTAAGAATTTATGACTTCATTATCCATTTGAATGAGTCCTCAAAATTA